CCTTTGGTAGAAAATTCAAACAATACATAAATGTATGCACTTGAACTAAAAGCTTTCCTCCTCATCCAATTACTCTCCTCAAGGGAAACTCCTTTTAATGATTTCTTGAGATTCTTTTCAGGAAAAAAATTGGCTATCTCAGCATATATTTCTTTAAAAATTTTTACATTCATTGAATTATAATATATTCTCCTTTAAACCCTGCTTTTTCCACCTAATTATATACCTTGAACATCCCTTTGTATCAGCACATCTACTGTATTCTTTTTATCACGTTCCCTGGTATTGATTGTATGAGGGTACTCCAATTTATTTATTTAACCCGTCCCCAGCTGCTGGACATTCGCAACAAGGTTTTGCTGTGGCCAATAGCATTTCAGCGAACACCTCATTACATTTATCTGGATGCAGTCCTTCACATGGGTTCAAAGTTACCTGGGGCCAACCTTCACAGTCGTGCAAGCTGTGCAAGGCACACAGGCGTTTGTCACTGGGTGGGATGCTGCTGGTTAGGTCCAGGGGAAGGAACGTGCTAGGTGATGTCCACCACAAACTTGAACAGAGACGAGGATGGTGGGGGACAGGGGCAAAGATGAGAACAAGGTGAGAAAAGAGAGAGGGGGTAAGAGAAAGGAAGGCCGTGGGGCATAAGTGTGGCCTCTAGAGTGAGTGACAGGACCCACAGAAGAACTCTGGCTGCTCAAAGCAGGAGAGGAAGCAGACCCCAGTCTCGTGAGCTCACTCGGAGACTCTCGGCAAAGTCTCCCCACTCACTCCGCCTGCCCCTCAGCCCCCCTGCTTGTCAGAGAGGCATGGAAGCTGACTAAGCAGCGTGAGAGTGTGTTGGGGTGTCGGAAGCAGGGGCGAGGTGACACAGGGCCCCGTCTGTGGGGTTGGTGCAGTTCTCTTAAACAACGGAGCACGTGTAGCTGCGGGCGCTGCAGAATCAGGAAAGTAACGTGAGAACCTTTAAAGTTGGCAAAGCGGCCGATCTGTAATGTATCTGCAGCTACTATCAGGGACAGATAGCCGGGAACGGTCTTGTTTTGTATTTCCCTCTTGTGATGAAACTAATCTGTTTTATGTTTCATCTTCAAGGACAAAATGCAGCTTGCCACCCTCCCCAGCGCGTTTAAAGGACAGCACCATTCCTGAGGTTAGTCACATGTGCCTTCCTGCAGGATGTATTCTGAGCCTGGAGCCTGCGGGCCGCCCTCCTCTTCGCTTGGCTCAGGTAAGAAAGCCCGCAGCACCTCGGGTTCATCCGATTTCTTTAAACCTTGTAGGTCGAGGCAGTTCATTGGTTGCTATAGATTTAACCAGTGGGGCTGAACATGTTTACATAAGTTTATGACTGTATTGGTGATGGCTGAGAGTAATTAATGTCTCAGGTAGGAAAGGTGTTTAAGCTTGAACTTCCTTTTTGAAAAAAACTTTTATTTGCATTTATTTTATGCTGAGTTTATTCCCAGGCCATATGCTTTTGTTTCTTCAGTTTCTTGGGGGATATCTTTTTCTTCTTGGCAGCAAACTGCTGTTTTTCAGAAAGGATCACCTATTTCGACATGGCAGGAGGGGTTCATGTTAGGGGTTAACCCGACCATGACCTCGATCAGTCTGGAGGCGCATCCCAGGGGCTTTGTTCACCTAGATGAGCTCAAGACGGAAGAGCTGATCTTTAAACTCTTATGCAAAGCATTTCTCTGCATTTTTAAACGGGTGCAGCAACGTCTCTGAACTCCATCCACCTTGGGTCCCGCTGTTTGACTGGGGCTTCCAGCACAGTAAGGATAGATGGCATGCACTGCTTCTGTAAAGTGACATCTTTCAGAGACTTGGTGGCTTTTCAGCTAGCTCAGCATACCTCTGATGGTCTGGGCAGTGTCACGAATGTTCATAAAGTCAACGTGGAAATTTGAACCTCTTGACTTGTGGGGTTTTCTGGGTCAAGTGAGTAGCAAACTCCTCTTAGAGATCATTCCAGGCTGCAAGTGAAAGAACTCAAACTCAGTCTTGCATTCCGGTGCTAATAATAATCGTCAAACAGTAAAGTCAGGAATGGAAGGCAGGACAGCCAGAAGGTGGGTTGGACAACGACAGGGCTGAGAGCAGCTTTTTGTTCAGAGAGTCGGCAGAACTGAGGAGCTTCGGTCCGCTCCCCATCTCGTCTCCTGGGCATCAGGAGGCGAGGCCACAGGAGGCCCCTTCTTCCCCCTGCCAGAGGGTGTCTGGAACCAAGGGGCAAACCAGGTGCTTCTCCACGTGGCATCTCCTTCCTGCAAAGACCGTTGCTTTTATGTGAACATGAGCCAGAGCTGTGTAGCGGAGTGGCAAACACACAGGGCCTGAGAAGGATGTCAGCTTGCAGCAGGCAGCTCTGTGCTCTGCCATCCGTACAGGTGGCTGGTGGAAGAATTTAGGGAGCCTGAGGTTGCTGGCTCACCTGGGCCATCGGCTGGGCCCCGCAGCCGTCCTGTGCCTGCCTCCTCGAGTACCTGTCGTCTCCATGTCTCCCTGCTAAGCTGTCTTTGAAAAGCCCAGGTACAGGTGCTCTTTCCTTCCAGAAGGGTCCCCACCCTCTGTCAGCTCCTCTCTGTGGCACTTGTCGATCCCCATGGGCACATGAGACCACGTCTCAACCCCTGTCTCGGCCAGTTCTGCAGGGGGCACAGCCTGAGTGTTGTCCTACCCAACAAGCGCTCTGCCTTGTTGAAACCTGGATCTCAGTAAACACTGAAAGAATGACAAATGAATGAGCGAGGAGCTGGCACTCCTAACTGGTGGCTGAGGAGGCAGCCGATTTTATTTCTTTTTTGGGAATAAAGATCAAGAGAGGGTATGGCCTGGCCAGGGGGTATACCCAGAACAAAGATGCGAGGGAGAACCTAAAACCATCCCTTTTTGACAAGTTCCCCAGTGAGATGATGCACAATCATGGAAGGAGGGCCTTCTGACGATTCCAATGCGGGAGAGAAACCATTCTGATGGGCGACTGTCATTTGTCTTTCTCTCCCAAGTCTAAATTGAAAGTGAATTATTGATTGGTTGACTTCTGCCATTTTCACAGGGAATGTAAATTAAATCATTGCCCTTCATGACTTTTCCAGTTGCATCAACCACCCTGTACTTCTGACGGAAGGAAAATACTAATTGAAGATGAAAAGAGTTGTTAAACAATCGAATGCGTAATTGTGGTGTGTTGAAGCATGTCACGTCATCTGCATATCAATATGTTGCCATCGAGTTATCCAAGGAACTCCCCTCTTATTCCAGGAAGAATTCCCTAAGGCTACATTAGAAGAGTTTTTGTTGTCTTGGCTGTCAAGTCCTGGTCTGGATGCTTCCCAAGTGTGTGTGGTGTCTGGGAGTCTCTGGGCCGTTAGCTCCATCCACGGCCTTCCTGGGAAGTGTTTAACTGAGGTGAAGCTGGGTCAGAAAGGCTTCCGAGCACCATTTTCTCATTCTGCCTCTGCTTTTCTTTGTGGCTTTAAGCAACACAGGAAGGCTTGTTTGTACTTTAGTTTTCCCATTTGGCAACTGAGAAAAACACTATTTTTCTGTCAAATGCCTTAACGCCAGACTACAAAGAAGCTTCAGACATAAGGAGTGATTCATTGTGAATGTATTACTCCCACTCTTGGCAGAAAATCCACCTCTGGTTTTACTGAAAAGATAAAGACTAATTTGATGACTTGCTCATCTTTCTCAGTTTCTGTTGACACAACTCTATCTCTGTGGTTGTCTGCCGTCTGCAGACAAAAAGGATGCATCAGTCTTCTTCCTCTCCAGAGAGAACCCTTTCTCAGCTCTTTGATCCCTTTCTCAGCTCCTCAACCCCGCCCTTGGCCTCTCCCTGCTTCACTCTTCACTACTCGCCCACCACATCTTAGGCTTCCCTTCAAGTGGGTTTCTAACAGGCCCCAACTGTGTTCTATTTGAGAAAGTACACAAGAAAACCAAAGTGCCTTTTCTTGACCTTGCTGTCTCTTCAAGTCTACTTATTGCTTTCCTTTTGCAGCAAAACATCTCAATTTCCTCTTTCGACACAGCCCCTTAGGTTTGCTAGCTTCCTTTCTCCCTCGATGTTGAAATTGCATTCACAGAGGTCGCGTGGAGGGTGGGGTGGCCTTGTGGGCCCGGTCCAAAAGGGCATTGTTTCGGCCTCATTCTTGTTTTCTCAGGAGCATTAGTTTTCTTTCTGTCCACTTTTTCCCTTCAGCCTTCCCTTCTGATGCACTTGTCTGCTGGTTGGGTTTCCCAAACTTACCCCTGTGTGGCACTGTGGCTAAGGGTCTGAGCTCTGACTTCAGCCAGCCCGTGGGTGTATTCTGACTCTGCAGGTGGCAAAACACATGGCCTGTGGGTCTCGGTTTCCCCATCCTTGAAATGAGGGTCATAATATGTGTGCTTACGTAGGGTTTGTTGTAAGAATCACACAAGGCAGTCTATGTAATATTTATTCTAATGTTTGGCCCTTAGAAATAGTTAATAAATATTATTTATTAGCACAACAACATACTCCAGAGCTTTGAAAATGTAATTTTTTATCCTTTTAGGATATATTTCCTCCTTAACTCAAACAGGGACAAACAATAAATAATTATTGATAAGTGAATTTGTGCACATTGTTGGCATATCCAGAGAAGGAGGAATGATGGGGCGGAGGGAAGTTCCCAAATTCTGCATGTACCATTACCTAAATTCAGGGTTTTTTAGTTTGTTTTGTTTTACCAGTAACTCATTCACATTGTTGAAAGTTTAAATGGGTTCTTTCAGGTCCTGTGTTTGTGAGGAGCAAGGGGCGCCGACAGTTAAAGCTCTAGTTGTTGGTGCTCCAATCAGTCACAATGAGGCCGCCTGGCCCAGAACACAGTGTGCTGTTCTTAGATTAGATGCTGCTCTGACAGGATTAGGGAGACAGCGCACAGCTGCGGCTTTGTGCGCAGGCTGCCTGGAACCCGTCCATTGAGTGATGCCGCCATCTAGTGGCAGCACGGGGGAGCGGTACTGGGCAGAGCCCTTTCCTTTGGGCAAGAGCCTCGGAATTGCCGTCCATTCTTTAGAAAGAGTAGGTGAGACCCGGGACGAGGGAAAGGATATGGGGGGAAACACAGCAAGGGGGAGGAGGAAAACACTTCAGCACAGGTTTGGGGAAGTAAAGGGCACAAAGGACGCCTGTGCCCACCTAGAACAACCTTGTTGATATCACACGGCAATTCCTTCCCCCATCCCAACACCAGCTAAACTTTGATTTTTTTTTTTTTTCTTCTTCACTTTCCAACACTCTGTGCAGACCTGATATCCTGAACAGACCTTGCTTCACCTTCTCATTTCTCTTTTTCTGGGTTAGGAATGGAGGGCTAGGAAAATTGAGCCGAATCATCTCATCTGGCTACCACCCCAGGAGCAGCGGCCCCAGGAGCAGCGCCCCCAGGAGCACCTCCCCACGCGACAGCCGCAGGTAAGGGACAGGCGAGACTGCGGCAGGGAGAGGCTACGGTCCACTGGGGCTCCCCAGTCCTTTCAGGACTGTCATTCTGGTCACTGAAATCAGAGCGAGTTGATGTTCTCTTTGTGAAACTGAAGTGAGCGATGTTGACCATGCAGGCGTCCCCACCTTTCGTTTCTTTTCACAAGCTATTCTAACCCCTAGTGTTATCAATCTGCCTATGATCAATACATGGATTGTATAGGTCATTGTAGTGAGTCAGCACAGCGCTTTAGGGTGGAGGGGACTGGAGGGAAGACACTGACGCTTCCAACTGGAGCGTGTGTAGTGAGTGGGCACACTGGCCGCGTCTTAGAGCGCAGTGATGGAAAGGAGCGACTCCGGGGCTTCGCTCTGCCACCCCCGGCTGGTGGACTTCGGGTGAGTTGTTTACGCTAGTCGAAGCCCCCGCTACCCTTTTCTAAAATGGGCATGATTAAAGCTACTTCTCAAAGTCACCGTGAAGATTATTAAATGGCATACAGAAAAGCCTGCATATTTAAGAGACCAAGACTGTATTTTAGAGCATTCATGGAAGAAGTTGGTTAAAGGAGAGAATGATAAAAGACGATACCTCAAATAATTTATTTTACCTTAAAATATAGAATTTCCCTATCTTTAAAAAACAGTTTATTTATTTATTTATTTTTAGACAGAGGGGAAAGAAGGGAGAGAAACATCAATGTGTGGTTGCTTCTTGCGTGCCCCCCCACTGGGAAACCTGGCCTGCAACCCAGCCATGTGCCCTGACTGGGAATCGAACCAACCAGGTTCCTGGGCCGGCGCTCAACCCACTGAGCCGCACCAGCCAGGGCAGAATTTCCCAATCTTTCATGCAGGGACATAGCCTCTTCTCTGCATATGAATCCGCTCGTTGGTGTGTCCTGAGTTGTCCTTCTTGCACAAGCCACACACGTAATACGTCATTTGTAAGTTCTGGTTCTTTCAGTGTAATGAGAATGTAACGACATCTGGGAAGACGCTGATAAAATCACCTTCTGCAGAATCATTCTAATTCCAATAACCATTCCAGATTATTAAAACTTTTTCTAAACTTTTAGTGTCCATACCTCGTTATATAGCAATTGTTTTAACAGCTTCCCATTGGTGAATCTTCCCAAAACATTCCACCTTGCTTTCATAGAAACAACTTGCTTTGTATGCGCATATGTCATGAGTTTCTGTAGCATTTAAATTTCACAGTTACGATAACAAGTCCGGCTGTCATGAACTGATTCTTGGTAACATGTCAGGATGAGTGCAGCAGAGGTTAGGAGTGAGCACTGTCCACCACAAAGCTTTTGGTGGACCGTTCACAGGTGCCTGGAACCTGGCCTGTTGGTTAGGCAGAGGTCAGCAAAAGCAGCTTCCCCTGCAGCATATGCAAAATGCTACATACAGTACTCAGCATATACAATTGCGCAATAAATGGTGCGATAAATATTGTTGTCACCATCAATATGTTCAGAGTTGAAAGGACTGTTAGAAATTGCAAAGTTCTTCCCCTCCTTTTACAGGTAAGATCAAAGTGTTTTGTAATTTTGACCTTTATAATATACCTTAGGAAAATCTGAAGCATGAGCCAAGATGGTCTATTTGTACGAAAAAGCCACTAGAAAGAGGCAAAGTTGTGGGGGGCAGGGCCTCAGGGAATCACCAGGGTGGAGTGAACAGTGTGAGCCAGGCTGATGGAGTCTCAGATAGAGTGCCTACCTGCTGACTCTGTGGAGGGCTCAGCAAAGGAACAATGGCGTAGCAGCACTTCTGTCTGGGAGAAAGCTGCCCCTCATGTGCTCTCCCTGAAACCAGACAATTCAGTTCTTCCCTGTGGGTCCCTGGTGCCTTTTGAGCTGCTGCCCCAATGCTGGGGCTCAGAGCAAGTGAATCCGAGTACGTCCATGTGCTGGCCCTTTAAGAAGAACACCTGGACTCCAGAAGCCTAGGTCTCAATCAGTCACAGTCCCCTCTGGTTTTTACAGCCAGAAGTTAGGTGGCCTTCTCTTCCCAGCACTGAGACCTTGGGCGGGGGATCCTGGTGTGGGGCTGGGATCACTTGCTTTTCATGGGGCACTTACATCCTTAGTTGTAGGACTTCAGCTAGATTTCAGGCTGTTCCAAATGATGGTTGCTCTGTAGTTTAGTTGTAACTTTGATGTGGTTTGGGGAAGATGTGAGAACCTCATTTACCAACTCTACCATCTGGACCGGAAGCCATTTTGTTTGATTTTTTTTTTTAAAGGAAACTGTTTATTTAAGAATAGCATCCAAGAAGAGTGTATAAATCATAATCTGTACAGCTCGATGTAATTTTCATTTTATTTTGAAAGTGAAATTCACTGTGCTTCACAAATACATGCCTTCAATCCCTTGCTCTCTGCAAAGACCCTGGTGCTCTCCCAGGACTTACCCTGGGTAGGCGGAGCTGCTCCTCTGACTCTGCCCCCTGGCCCCCTTGCCTGGCCTGGGTTCATGGAGTGTGCCAGTTCTGTGGTTATTCCATTTCCAGTGCCGAGGTTCCAGACACCAGCATGTGTGTAGCATCACCAGGCACCTTGTAAAAACATGCATTGTGCAGACCCTGAGCTTCCTGTGATTCAGATCCAATCATTATGAGCCGGGCCTGCAGTTTATAACAAGCACCCCAAGGGCCTCTGGAATAGGAGGTCCAGCCAACTGTGAGAAGTGTGTTCTCTGCACCAAAGATCAAGATGAACCCGACAACCTGTGAGACTGAACCAGATCAGATTTAATCTTATGATGGAGAAGTGGGGAGGTGGGCAGGTGTTTGCTAGCAGAGGTGGTGAGCTAACCACACGCTGAATCTGCCGTGCAGAACGCTCAGCTCTCCTTTACTTTGCCCTGTTTGACAGCTTTTTATGGCATTAAATTCTAGATGTGCCATTAAGAAGCGACAAGGCTGGATGCTTGGTGCCGTCTTCTTTTTCTTCTTTGACTGTCAGTGACATTTTATTTGGGAAATTGCTATGTATTACATAGGTATTAACTTCCTTTCTTTCATCACTTCCCCTAAATCAACCAGAAAGACAAAAAAAAAAACCCCATATAAAGTCTTAGTTTCTCTAAAGTCTTAGGTTTTTAAAAAAAAACTTAAATGGTACTTCTTCTTTATGAGGATGCTGCATTTTAAGGAGGACTCATAGTCTGTCCTTATATTCATAAGCAGGCTTCCTGGGGGGAAAATGGTCAGTGTTCCTGCTTCCTTCTAACAAATCCACTTTGTGATTATGATACATTATCATTCCCCACTGACACCTTCTAAGAAACTTGATTGCTGGATGCATTCTTCATTTGGCAGAAATCCACTGTGGCTTTGCGTGGGTTGCCTAAGTGTCAGAAACAGCAGTGTTGATGTTCTGGTTTTGAGAGGGAAAATATATGAAGATATGTATGGACATGCAGACATTCCTGGGAAGAGCAAATGGAGGAGGGTGAAATATGGTGTGCACAGAGTTCAGAAGGCTGATGGACACTACTTGGTTTTGAATTGTGTGGCCACCAGGCACCAGAGACTGGAGTGTAGGCCAGAAGAGAACTCTTCACGGAAAGAAGTGTATTCAGACCCTGCGGAATGACAGCTTCATTTTGTTCTGAGCAGATGCAGGGAAGAAGGAGCGGCATGGGTTCTCTGCAGTGAGCGGTACCCTGCTCATGGTCACATGTGGGCATTTCTGCAAATGCTCTGTCAGCCTAGGCTCAGGGAGAAGCAAAAAGAAGCATCCTGTTAAAGTACACTTCCACCACTCACTCACCCAAGACCCCAGGCCTCCTTAGCTCTGTGATTTGCAAGGCCAAAGTGAAGTTCAGAGTTCTTTGTCACCGGACTGTCTCAAAAGACCTAGTGTTGCCAAGACAGCAGCAACACCACTCAGAAGGGTGTGTGCCTTGATGATGTTCACATTGTCCACAGGGTGGTCCTGGGAGTTTGCTCTCATTGTTGCTACATGAGTCAGCAATCCTATACCTGGCACTCATGGCCCAAAGTGGTGTGTTTGCTGTCAAGCCACTGGGCGGGAGCTAGGGTTCTAAAGAACTGGCTGCTGTTACTATCTGGCCCTGCATTGCCATTGCAGGAATTCCAGCCCCTGTGAATTTCAAGTCTGGATGAAGTTCATCTTCAAATTGCTTGCCCTACATAGATGTACCACCTTGATCTGTTCCTGTTGGGTCACTTCCCAGGATCATGGAGTCTTAGATGATGCTATGGGGTTTGGTGCCATTGTACTAACCTCAACGCACCAACTCGGCAAAGCGCTTACAGGTCTTTGGAGTGTGCTTGCCCTATAGCCCCAGCACAACGAGCCCATGCTGGGATCCACATGTACCCTGGCCGCTGGCTGCTGGGAGGCCGGAGAGATCGCTGCCGTGCTGAAGATGGAGGGCCCTTTCTTCCTGGATGCTTGGCTTCTGACGTAGGGAAATCTGCCCTGGCTCTGCTGACCCTGTGAGAGGAGTTGAGTATAAAGGACAGGGAACCATGTTCGCTGTCATCCCAAGGGGGACAAGCTTTAAACATGACTTTCTTGTGCCTCAGAACAGAGAGAGGAAGCCCGTGTCCTCCTTGGTGAGCAGCCCTCAGCCTGAGGGAGCTCTGGTGCTTTTATTTTGTTTCTTAAGATTCTTATTTATTTGTTTTTAGAGAAGGGGAGGGAAGGAGAAAGGGAGGAAGAGAAACATCAATGCAGGAGAGAAACATCAACTGGTTGCCTCTTGCAAGCACCCAACTGGGAACCTAGCCTGCAACCCAGGCATGTGCCCTGACCAGGTATCGAACCAGTGACCTTTCAGTTTGTAGTCTGACACTCAGTCCACTGAGCCACACCAGCCAGGGCAGTTCTGCTTCTTTCAAACTTCCCATATTCATTGTCAGGCTCCTGTCAACACTCATCCCGAGCGTTCAGCCTGAAGACTGGCAGGTTCATTTGAAACAGAAGGTTGTGTGCAGGAAACCCCTGGAAAGAAACCTCCAAGCATGCTTTGTTGTTGTTGTTGTATTCTGTTGTTTTGTTTTTGCCCTAGTATAACCTTTTAAGCCCTTGATTCTGGAGCAAAATGGTGTTGCAACACTGGTTTCATCCTCTTCATGTGTTGGTTCTTAAAGTGTGGTCCCGCCTCCCAGCATCCATCACCCAGGAGCTTGTTAGACCGTGAACATCGGGCCCTGCTCCAGATGTGCAGAATCCAGGCCTCCGGGAATCTGTGTTTTCACAAGTCTCCCAGGTGATTCTGATGCACACTCAGATGTGAGAACCACAGGCCGAATGGAGAGCTTATGGGGATGCCTTTACTCAAACAAACAATATATCTTGCAAATTGGTGGGGCTGTAGTCTCCTGGAGTTTTATTTGGGTCCCTCATTGTAGTGGTAAGAGGAGGTCAGCTGACCAGGGAGGAAGGAGAAACAGGGCTGGGGCTGTGGGAGAAGAGGCACTTCTATGGACCTCTCAGTGTCTTCCGCCCGGAGAGCGTTACCAAACCCGGGGGGAGGGGGCAGGGGCGGAGATGATGGAGAAACCAAATCCCTAAGTACCTCCAGGTCAGCCAGGGCCGAAGGCCCAGAGCACAGCTGTGTAGCAGGGCTGGGCTCTACCAGCTACCTGCGTTTACATAAGCTCAAGACTCAGGAACAGTCAGACTCATGGACATGGACAACAGTGTGGTGATTGAGGGGAAGGGCAGTATGAAAAAGATAAATGGTAGTGAAAAAAATACAATAAAAAAAAGAATAATCAGTAGGGTGGCCACACACCATATATAAAAACAGACTCAAAATGGATCAACAATCTGAATATACTCAATACTATAAAAATTCTAGAAGAAAACATAAAAATAAATCTTTATGACCTTGGACTTGGCAATGGATTCTTAGCTATACCACTAAAACCATGAACAACAACACTGAAAATAGATAAATTAGACTTTGTCAAAATGAAAAATGGCTGTGTATCAAAATGAAAAATGGCTGTGTATCAAAAGACATTAAGGAAGTAAAAAGACAACCTACAGAGGGAAAGTGTCTATAGATCACATATTTAATAATGGTCTACTGTCCAGAAACTATAACGAACTCTACAACTCAAAAGCAAAAAGATAAACCATCCACTAAAAAATGGGTGAAGACACTTGAACAGACACTTCTTTGAAAAAGATACACGAGCCACCAACAAGCACACAAAAAGATGCCATTAGTCTTTAGGGAAGTACAGGCCAAACCCACAACGACATGTCACTTCGTACCCACTAGGTTGGATATAATAGTAGTTTACAAGCCTGGAAAACAATGACTGCTGGTGATGTGGAGAAATTGGAATCCTTGCATATTGCTGATTGACGGAAATGTCAACTGGAGCGTTCCCCTGCAGAAAATGGCTTGGTGGTCCCTCATAAAGGTAAACATAGAGTCACCATCTGACTCAGCAAATCCTCTCCCAGGTATACACCCTGAGAACTGAAAGCAGGGACCCAAACAAATCCTTGTATGCCGGTGTTCACAGCAGCTCTACTCACAATAGCCAGCGCATGGAAACAGCCTGAGTGTCTGTCAGCAGATAAATGGATAAACAAAATGTGGTATGTCCATGTACTGGAACATTGTCCAGACATGATAGGGCATGAAGCACCAGTACATGCTCCAACATGGAGGAACCTCAAACAAATTGTGATGAGAAAAAAACCAGACATAAAAGGTCACAATATTAAATGACTCCATTTATAAAGAATACCCAGAACAGGTAAATTCACAGAGACAGAAAACAGATTAATGGTTGCTGGGGAATAACTTCATAATGGGTATGGGGTTTCTTTCCTTGTGGGGCAATAAAAAAGTTTAGGGCTAAATAGAGGTAGTGGTTGTAGGACACTGATAATATAACTGATTGTATGTTATGGGGACTTTACCTCAGTAAAAAAATGAATGGTGTACTCTTATCTACAAAAGACAATTGAAACTAAACTCTGGTGGTCAAAGTCCTTCCCAGCAGGTCTTCCTGAAGCCTTATCTGTTACCATTCTCTGAGTTACTCCTGTTCACGAACCCATGTCAAACACTCTGCGTCTCCTGAAAGCTCACTCTAGTGCCAGGGGAGGCCTCTGCCGGCCACTGCAGCCACAGTCCTCTCTTGATTCTTGCAGCTCTTAACTGCTTATCCTTACACTTGAAGTGTGGTCCTGGGACCAGCAGCCTTGGTGTCCCCTCAGGAGCCTATCAGAAAGGCACCATCTGGCACCCCCACCCTGGACCCACTGAGTCCGAACCTGCATTTTAACAAGACCCTCTGATGATTCAAATGCCCCTTAAAGTCTGAGAAGCGCTGGTTTCTACCAGAAGCCTGCAGTTAGGCTGGAGGCCAGAATCACTTTGTGAGCTGTGTTTATTTATAATACATATTTTAAATAATATATACATTTGGTAGAGTGACAGACTCTAAGTATATATATGTATATATACATAAAGATATATTTTTTAAGTAGTAAAAAACAAACCTCCCTGCTGCTTCAGTTGCTCAGATTTCTTCCCCAGAGGCAATTTTTATTCAAGGTTCTTGGCTACTCTTCCCTGTTCTGCGCACATGCAAGCAAACACGTACCAACTGATTTCCCTCCCCCGCTCTGTGTTTACGCAGATGGCAGTGTGCTTACACACTGAGTTGCCCTTCTCACACTGCCATTCACTACGGAGATCATTTTAGCACGTAGACGGCATAATGCTTTTTAACGGCTGCAAAGTGGCCGTCTGTGGTTGTATAGTTGTCGTGCACATGTGGAAGTTCTCTGTGGTGCAACTGTTAAAGGACATTAGGTTGTTCTTGCAAAGCTTTGCTGCCCCTCCTTCGGGAATATCTTTGAGCACACGACGTGTCAGTGTGTGACAGAGTTGCTGAAAGGTATGTGCATGTTAACATTGTAAGAGACATAAAAATCTCCTCTAAAAGGCAGAAAGAGTTTATCTTCTTGGGGAGACTTAAAGAATGTCTCAGGCTACTTTTTTACTTCGACTGTCTGTAGGAGTATCTGTTTTGTTTCTGGTTTTGTTTTTCGGTGATTTTGATACAGGAAGGCTATGGGGTGGGCTGGAAAGCAGGGGCACGTGTCCCGAACCCTGTACTCTGATTCATCCTGGGCCGCCTAGAATTGCTCTGTAGCTTTTCATGTGGCCACTTAACCTCCTCACCAAGGTGACAGGTTCCTAAGGACAGGCCTTGGGAAGGTTGTTTCTTTATAGTTCTACCTTGTCACAGTGCTTTGTACAATGATGCTGGTTGATGATGAGACTTCAAAGAGTATTAGTGGCTCATATGATAGGGTTTTTTTTTTTCAGCTCCATGCACCAAACACAGAGAAGAATGCTGGGCCAGCGCCTTGCCATCCCCACTGCGCAGCCCAAGAAGAAAAGGACATCAGTGACATCTTTCTTTTCCAAGGTCTGACACAAAATATTCTGAACGAATGTCCCTCCCCAGCAGCCACTTGGTGACCCATGTGCTTGCCTGGTCTAAATTCATCAGCTGGCTGCACTGAGGTTCCTCCTTCTAAACAATGTCTGATAATAGTTCTTTAAACACAGACAGGATGTTTACAGAGTCACAAGAACGTGAGTTGGGATGAATGTAGCTTGCTGTGAAATTCATGAAAAAATATAGATTGAAGGGCAGTGAGTGCTTAGAGATAACAACAAGACTTGGTAATCACTCAAGCACCAAGTGGGGCTATCGCTCCCATCTCCAGCTCCCCACCCTATAACTAAGGATGGTGAAGAGGTGGCTTTTTTTTGAGACGTTGTCTGCCTCTTGCATCATCTGGCTCTGACTCCGGCGCACGTTGCCATGCCCTGAACTGTGCAGAACCCCAGGGCCTTCTGGCCTCAGGGCTCATGAGTGCACAGTGGAAATAACCCAGCTCTTACCCAGCAGTTCTTGGCGTTCAGTCCTCGATGCGTAGGGTTCTGGGTCAGCCACACAGCACTGCCCAATTCTGTGCTCCTTGTGCATTTCTTTTCCTAATCTTAATTAGGAAGTTAATTATGTAGATCAAACTAATATACAGGATGGGGGGAAAGGAGGTGCGCTGTTGTATGCAAAACACAGTTTATTGTTGTATTGTTATTAATTATTGTATTATTTTCCAAACAAACAGCTGTAAACCTACTTTAGCTCCACCCTGTATCCCCAACAAAAAAATCAGGTGACTTTTGATGGAGAAAGAGTGTAGAAGAAATGTGTAAAATTGAGCTGGCCACACAGGATCCTGTCTTGAGGGAGGGATTGAGGTTGGGGCTGGGGATGACTCTGAACACTCCCGAATCAATCCATTTTTGACTCCCCACCCAGGTCTCATGGAAACTGAGGTCCCGGAAGCAGGAGCCTCTGAAGAATGTGTTTTTCATCTTGGCAGAAAGAGCCCGGGACCCCAGTGCTAAAAAGCGTCACATGGCCATGAGAGGCCTGGGGACCATAGCCCGTGAGAAACCCAACAAGGTAGGCTGAGAAGGTGGCCTGCAGTCCCTAGGACTGGGCTCTGGTACCTCAGGTACTAGTCATCATTGCCATGTAACTGCTCACCCCGGACCTGGCAGGAGCCCAGGCACAGCGTAGCTGGGTCCCCTGTTCAGGGTCCTGCAAGGCTACCATCAAGGTGTGGGCCAGATTACATTCCTTCCCGAAGCTTGGGGTCCTCATTCTAGCTAACATGGCTGTTGGAAGAATTCAGTGCTTTCCAGTTGTAGGACCAAGGTCCTTATTTCCTGGCTGGCTGTCAGTCAGGAGCCACTCTTAGCTCCTAGAGGCTGCCCACTCACAATATGGTAACTTACTTCTTCAAGATCAGCAGGAGACTGTCCCCTGCCTCTCTGCTAAGAAAACTTATTCAACATAAGTAACCTTGGGAATGACATCCCATGAATATTGTCATGTTCAATAGGCTGGATGCAAGTCATCGGTTCCTCCCACCCTCAGGGGAAGGAGATTACACAGGACATGACTCATTTGGGGTCATCTTAGGGTCATCACACCTCAGTATTATCTTGGGAATAGAGTTGCTAGCCTTGGGAATAGAGTTGCTGGCATGATTAGTGCACAGTTGGACATAATCCTCTTTGGTAAATTCAATTTATTTTTCTAATAACTTAGGCTTGTTTAGCAAAAATGTTTCCCCCACTTCCTCCTTTAGCATCTGTCAACTTTAGTGACCATTTCATTTTGTCCCCAGTATGTCTCAGAAACCTAGATTATCCAGTTTACCACCCACCTTGACCCACCCTGCCTACCCTTGTCCACCCAAGGGCCATGCTTCCAAATCACTCTCTGCTCTCCCTCTAAGACTGACTTGGGCTCCTGGGTCAGGTTCGTGGAAGCGCTTGTCTTTTGATGGAAGTTGTTGCGGCAGATCCCAAAGAAAACCATAATCTCTCAGTTCAGGTCCTATGTTGTTGGACAATTAGAAGTACAGTTGCTTTTCAACTCATGGGGAGCAATTCCTGTGAAACTCATGTTTTTAAAACCTTGATCCCAGGTGAGAAAGTATAAGAAAATTGTGCTAGACCTGCTGGTCCACGGGTTGTATGATCCCATGAGTTCCGAAGTCATCCATGAGAGCATGAAGTCGCTGACTGTCATCCTGGGCAAGATCCAGGGGAAAGGTTTGGGCTCCTTCTTCATAGACATCACCCTTCAGACCAGGACTCTATTAGATGACGTAAGTGAGACAGCTCAGAAGAATCACTGGTGATGGAAATCCGAGTGGGATTAGAAATGTGAGCCTGGGTGGTGTGGGGCTCAGGGAACAAGATCTCTATTATTCATTTATTTATTAACAAGTCTTTTTAAAAAATTAAATGTATTCAGGTGACATGCTGAAAATGTCCATATCACTCCAAGCAGTGTATAGATTTGGTGCAATCTCCATCAAAATCCCAAAGATATTTTAAAAATAAATAAAATAAAAAATAATCAGATCTTCATGGAACCCCAAATGTTACAGAACAGACCTGGGGGTAGTGAATGATACACTATTACCGAATGGACCCACCCTTGTGCTCCCGGGGTCCCCCACCCTGTATTAGGTTCACCTTGCATGCTGCCGAGGAAAGACATCCCTCAAAGCCAGAGATTGGAGAAAAGGAAAGAGATTACTTATTTACAGAATTATACAAACTTAAGAGTAATGACTTAATGTCTTCATTGAGATCCCAAAGACCCTTAGAATAGCCACAAACTCAGTCCTTCCTTCCCCCTCTGCCCAGTCTGGGGTACCGTATCTCAGAAAAAGAAATAGAAGTCTGTGGTTCTTCTCTGCCCAAGCCATGTGGTCCCCAAAAGATGCCACATGGCTGCTGTGCCTGGGTTTAAACCCCAGTGCCAATCTTCCTCTGCCGCACCATTTCCAACTCCTCCCACAATTGGCCACAGCTGCCAGCATTCTCATATTTTTTCCAGCTTTACTGGGTTGCCATAGTAAGTCAGGGCAGGTGTGGCCCTGTGGTGTAGAGCCAATCATATCCAAGTTCTCACGCAGGCTCTGTAACCAGGAAGAGTTGCCTACTCCCATCCCACCCTGGCTCAAAGCATGGCCACAGCTGTTTAACATATCTATGAAACTAGCTAAAGGTTATAGATATGTTAAACAACCATTCTAGAGGTTAGCTGCAAAACTGTTGCTATTCAAAACAACTCTCAATGGCCCTGCTCCCTGCGTCCCATCCCCCAGCTCAGACTTGTAGGGGTGAGGACATCCTATATATATATTTTTTTTCCTAATATTTCTTGGACACTGAGTTCTGGACCCCATCACAAATCTCTATTTGCCCCCCCCCTTGGCTGCACCCTGTTACACAAAGACCTCAAATAGTCAAAGCAATCCTGAAAAAAAAAAGAATAAAGATGCAGGTATTATACCACCTGACTTCAGATTATGCCACAGAGCAACAATAATCAGAACGGCGTGGTACTGGCAGTACAACAGACGCACCGACCAATGGAACAGAACTGGGAGCCCAGACATAAAACCACATGTATATGGGCAAATAATTTTTGACGAAGGTCTCAAAAACACACAATGGAGAAAAGAAACTCTCTTCAATAGATGGTGCTGGGAAAATTGAAAAGCCATATGCAAAAGAATGAAACTAGACTATAGTTTGTCCCCATATACAAAAAAAATAATTCAAAATCAAAGACCTAAATATAAGATCTAAATAAGTTACATAGAATAAAACATAGGTACTAAACTTATAGCCATTCATCTTAGAGAAGATTTTATGACTTTGACCCCCAGGGCGAGGGAAGTCGAGGCAAAACTAAATGAATAGGACTATATCAAACAGCTCTTACTAAGAGGCTGGGACTGTGCTGAGGGTTACAGAAGACATAAAGAAGGATAGGATTCCAAAAACACCCCTCAAGTTACCATTGTAAGAGAGAAGTGGATATATATACACTGATGATGAGGATGATGGTGCCTCTCTTATAAAGGTAGCAATAACAACAGTGGGTATCTCAGGAGCCTCTACTGTGCGCCAGGCATGGTGCTAGGCAACTGACATGGATTACTCACATAATCTTCACAATGACCCTGGGAGGGGGAATTATTATTATCTTCACTGTGTAAATGAAGAAACTAAGGCAGAGAGGTTAGGTAACTTGTGGAAGGTTCCCAGAGCCAGGGAACCTTCCACAAGTGGATATGAAACCAGGCCTGCTGACTCCAGGGTACTGTACTCTTAACTGCCAGGTGACAAGACAAGCTGAGCAAAAAGGGCACTGATGGAACTGTTAGGGCTCTGAGATACCTTCCTTCTAAACTAACCTGTAAGCCCGCTCCAGTGACATGTATGTACGTACACACACACCCAGAGCAGTGAAGAAAGCACAACACGAAAGCAATTTCTGGATGCATCACATGGGCTAAACAGTGTTTAAAAAACTTCACCAAATCTTCAGTCTCAGGTTGCTCCTTTTGCCCTAGGAGCCTCCTCCCAGCCCTGTCCCCTCTGGTCCACCTGGAGCTGGACAGGACCAGGAAACACTGACATAAAAGCCCTGCACCAAGAGTTAGGTCACTTCTCTGTTCCCTGATAATGTGACCCTGGCCCTCAGTTTCCTCACCGGGGAAGGGAGATACTTTGGAGCAGACAGCTCACCTCGGAGAGGAAGAAGGGGCTGAAAGGGCTGAACCTGCCGACAAGCACTCAGGGACAAACCAGCAGGGTTTGACTAACAGCAGGGAGAGTCGGCTGGGTGTCAGGGAATAAATCTGTTATTTCTACCACCAATGGGAGAAACGCAGACCAAAGATAAGAGAGACGACCTGGCAACAATGCTGTGAGGAGTAAACAGAGAACGGGTCAAATGCATTATGGAGTAGCCAAAAATTTTTTTCTTTATCTATTGACGCAGAAAGAGCTCCCAGCTCTCTCGTTTGATGGGAAAAAATGAAGGTGCAGAACAGTGCCACGGGATGCTTTTACTTTTATAAAAACATTGCAAAGAACTGCCTAACACGTGCTTTTTCTTAGTCTTCTGGAGGGATACACACAAAATTCACCCTATTAGCTTGTGGGGAGGAAAATTTCATGGGTTGAGAGGGGTAGGAAAAAGACTGACTTTTAGAGATAACCCTTTTTGGTTATTTTGAATTGTGAACCACATTAACATATTTTATCACCAAAACAGTAAGTAATGAAGAAAAATGTGGGGATCTGGAAGTAGCACTAGGGATCCCCAAGTCAAATCGTCTTCTCTGCCGGCAAAGAGGTTCATTGAAGACTCAGCCCCTCTCCGCCCCTCCCCCACCCCAGCCAGCCACGTGCTGCGGGCTGGGTCTGAAGCCCCCCCTGTAACCTGCTGTGGTTTCCTCCCATGCAGTTGCCTTTTGGTAACGACCTGGATTTTGTTGTTTTGTTCCCTTGGGAACCGCAGGAGAACGACAGCCTGAGATGCTCAGCCTTTGTCTTGTTTGGGCAACTGGCTGCCTTTGCTGGGCGGAAATGGAAGAAATTTTTCACCTACCAAGTTAAGCAGACGCGGGATTCCCTCCTGATCCATTTACAGGATAGAAATCCCCGGGTTGCCAAGGTAAGTCCCTGACTCTCCAACCAGCCGCAGGAAACCTCTGAGCCATGGACCCAGGGAGCCTCAATGCTCCCTGTCCTGTCGGGTCCAGATGCCAGGCTCTCAGCTCCAGCCAGTTCAGTTACAAACGCTAAGCAGCACACCGCGTGAATCCTGGAAAAAGTGCCCCCTCGCTGCGGGATGGCTCTCGGAGCAGGCGTGTTCTTTCCCACCTGTGCCTGCCCCACCTGCCCAGTCCCAGCCCCTGGTGGTGCTGGAGGAGTTCAGGTCAATGGGGCGGGGTCGGGGGGGGGGGGCAGAGAGGCCTGGGTTTAAGTCAAGGGGCAGCCGTCCACATACTGAGGATATTTATTCAGGCCTGTTAGCTTTTGTCATTGCACCTACTGGAGACTTCCTACTCCTGGCCACTCAATTTCCTATGGAGCCTTCATTTTATTCTTGGAGAAAATATGTCCTAACAGGGTTGGATCAACCTCAGGGCTGCTTGCAACTGGGACTGGGGGGTGGTTTCAAAACCACTGGGAACAAAGGGTTTCACCAAACCAACTGTCTTCTTTAAGTTGGGGAGTTGGGGTGGGGAGAGAGATGGAGATAGAGAGAGAGAGAGAAGGGAAGTTAGCTTTAAGAATCCAGTCCCACTTTGGATGGGACCACAAATGTCCTTCCCACCAGCCCCAAATTATAGACATGGTTCAAGTTTTCAAACTTCCTGTAGACCCTTTCACACTCTCAGTGGCGCCCACGCCGCAGATTGGGTGAGGTCCTCTTCCTTGGTTGGGATTAGAGAACTCTCTAGTAAAGCATATGATTGTCTGACCACTGTGCTGTACACCTGAAAGTAATACTAACTAATATATTGCAAACGTAAACTCTAATTGGAAAAAATAAAGGGAATTCTCTGATATGTTTGACACTAAGATGGTAATACTATTTTTCTCAGGCTTGCAAAACCACGTTTCGAGCCTGTTCTCCCTACCTGAGACAGAGGAGGGAACGCAGCTTTCAGACTGAAGATCAAGGGAACCCCAAGCTCTGCTGGCAGCTGGTGAGTGAGTCAGGGTTGGGGGACCCTCCTGGAGGTCACAGTGTCCTGGTGTTAATGCAGAGGGTGGAAGGGCGCCGGGGAGTTTGCCCCTCCCCCCCATAAAGAACTCAGATCAATTGCTTAGATTGTAATTGACCCATAATGCAACGTGACAAAACACCTGGAAGATTAGGAACAAAATACATTGGCAGTTTCATTCCACATCATCTGATGGACCCAGGCAACGACGCCTCCAACTCTGAGGATGTGCAGATCACAGGTCCTCATGCTCTGCATGGGACAATTGTCTGTGTTCTGTAGTTGAGGAGGTTCCTTGTCTCCCTGCCTCACCTGTACCTCCGCTAATTTCTTTCAGAGCCACTGCCATCCAGAGCTCCTGCAGTACTTCTACGCAAACAAGATTCTGTAAACGCAGAGCCACAGGGAAATGCTTCCACGTGAGCACTTTGCAGGGAGTGGGGGCTGATGTTGCCCTTTTCTAACTTTTCAGCTGTTGCTGCTTGCCTCTGGTGATTGTAACACAAAAGGGGATGTTGGGAGAGCAGTTAATGGCAAAAAATGATACTGCAGAATTGTATGATTACAGCCAAAGTAAGTCTAAATTGTTTTCACACATCAGTTTCTCCCATACAAATTTGATGAGAAGGAACATACTTCCTTTAAAACGTGTAAGGTCTATGTTGTTTCACGGCTTATGTCTCAGCTTTTTTCTCAAGTTCAACACTGTCACTTACCTTCTGTTTTTTTCATTTTATTTTAATTTCTGAGGCTTAGAAGATAACATGTATCTTAAGTAATATTTTAATCAGCTATTGGTACATTGCTATTTGCCACTGATACCTTTTTTTTAAGACCGACCGAAGGGTGGTGAAGGTTCCAAGAAGGTGGTTTGGAGGGGTAGCTTCAGTTTCTCACGATCGTCACCAGCCACTGCCTCTAACATTCCAAACAAGAATTAACGAAGAGGAAAAGTCTCTAAAGCACGTGTTGAAAAACCTCAGGCTGATGCTAACATGTGGAATAATATGAAGTCAACTTTATTGAGAATGTTTATAATTTACTGAGTGCTAAGAGTTGTGAAAGTTTTATTTAATACAACAACATGATGAGAAAGGTGCCCTTATTATCTTCATTTCGTGGATAGAAAACTGATGCGCAGAGAGGGATATGAAAGAACTTGTCCAGGATGACCCAGTAAGTGATGGGGCCAGAATTCAAACCCATGTGGTCTGACTTTTGGAGCCAACATTCAACCGTCATGAGGTACTGCCTTGTTATGGAATAATTGGTGGATGGTTAGAAATGTAACAAAATAAAAATGAATAAAAACACCCCGCGGCTCCTGTGCTTCTCTTTAACTCAGCTAACTTTTTTTTTAATGGACTAAGCATACATTTTTATTAGGTTAATTTGTGAGTTAAGTATATATTTTTGTTAATTACCTCTTAGCTATTATGTCAATATTTTGGTGATCAATCGTAGTTACATGAGAAGTCACAGAACTCTTATAAGAGGTTTCAAGAAAAATCTTTGTCCCTCCCACCTTCCCTCCAACCAGATTGCTCCCAGAACTTCTCCTATAGAAATTCTAGTATTACCACTGAACTTGGCATTCAGGTCATACCCTGGACTATGTCCATTTTGAAAATCAAAAACACAAGAGACTCATAGATGCTACAGGGGATCTTGATGTCGTTCTTGAATGAGGGACTCATAGTTTTGAGCGCCAGTTCTCTAGAGATGGGACTCAGTAACACAGATGAGGGGTGAGGTGTGTCCCAGGAGAGAAAAGAATGTGGGTGGTGACAGAAGGGACAGCAGGAGCCAGGAATGAATGAGTTTTCTTTCTTCTTGTTTTGCACTGGGGGCTCCCAGGTGTAAATCTGGTTTTGCCACTTACCAGTGTGAATCTGGATAAGTTAGCCCACCAAGCCTCAGTTTGTTGATCTGTGAAAGGGACATCATAACCCAACTCATGCACTTGCTCTGCTAAAAAAATTCATTTGATCACACCGAACACGTGGCACAGTACTTGGCACATAGAAGGTACTCACTTTTTCCTCCTCACTTCTAATATGCTTTTCAGAAATTGTTTCTTCTCTTCTTGGAGTTGCCCAGGTCTTCTGAGAGGTCCACTCTAGCTTATGCTATGGGGATTGCAGTATTACCTTAGTTCTCCCCAAGAAATAATTGTATCAATAGTGCTAAGGGAAGCCCTGTATCCTGCTTCCCATCAGAACCCTGAGAGTGTTGCTTTGACTTTATGGGATTGCAAATCAACCCCGGTGCCTTGACCAAGCATGAGTCTGTCTTCTCATAGGTTTGGGAATGACTCAGTGCATTTATTTATTTTTTGATGTTTTAAAATATATTTTATTAATTATGCCATTACAGTTGTTCTATTTCCCCCCTTCATTCCCCTCCACCCTGCACATCCCCTCCCCCACCATTCCCCCCTCCTTTAGTTTATGACCACGTGTCTCAAGTTCTTCAGATTCTATATTTCCCATACTATTCTTGCCCCCCCATCTATTTTCTATCTACTGTCTATGCTACTTATTTTCTGTATCTTTTCCCCCCTTCTTCTTCTCCCACTCCCCTGTCGCTAACCCTCCATGTGACTCAGTACATTTAAATGAGTGTGAAAGTCATAACTGAATGCATATAACAGGTTGTTCTTTCCCACTGGGCTCCTGTAGGGGTGCTGTGAGTGCTCAGGGCAGGAGCGGTGCCTTTTATGCCTTCAAAATTCCCAGAATGGCTCATGAGCTCCATTCATTCTGTCCTGAGGGTCCCAGCAGCTCCAATAATAGTTCTCCTTGGTATCTTTTGTGTGATCTTGTTAACAATTAATGCCCCACCTTCCGTTTTCAAGTGTGACCCCTGCAATCATGTTCCTTTCAAGCTAATGAATTTCCCGCAGCAATGGGTAAATGTTAACCAGGTAATGGACCAAGTGTCCCTCTTCAAGAAGAAAATGTTTTTGAGAAATGTAGATCAGAGAGCTAAAATGTGATTTCCTAAGCCACGCTGCTTGAGGCACGTGCCTCTGTCGTAACAAAAATGTGGTCAGAAATTCAAAGTTCTTCAACATCTCCAGTTGACTGCACCCGCAGATGTAGCCTCCATGGAGGGGAGAAGCTCAGTTTCCAGATATGAACTTGTGCGTGCTGGAAGGACACATGACTTGGCGTAGGACCCTGACATTATCTCTTAACTTGCTGGGTATCGTCAGCAAGTCACATAACCTCTCAGAGCCTCTGTTTTTTCATCCAGGAAATGGGAGGGAAACCCACCACATAAGATACTCTCATGATCGAGTGAGACAGGCTGAGTAAATGGTAAAATGTTACACCAGGAAATGCGTTGTCCTTATTCACTTGGTAGCCACCCATTATTGCAGCCTATTTGTACAAGGCAAAAGGTGAAAAGAATGAAATATAATATGGACACAGACCCCAATTTAAAAGCAGCAATCAACATGTAAGAATCTTAACAATGTAAAAATGGTAGAATTAAGTATACAGTCCATTGTTTTACAGAACGATGTTCCTCTGGACAACAAGGACCCCCGTTACAATGTGGAATAAAATTCAGTTTTCAAACTTAACATGTATCTATTTTGTTAAGTTTGTTACAGTTTAGCGATGCCCAAACTTTCCAATATGCTAGGAAGAGGAACATTCAGAAATTGCGGAAAACCTGGTTCTCTTCCTTGGGATCGCTCTAATACCGAAGTCAAATTTAACTGAAAATACTTACGGTTTTGTTAGGAAAGAGTACGTTTTCCCGTGTTTGGATTTAGAACAGTTTATTTACCAGCCCCGTGTAAGAATGGGCAGAGTGAGCCAGGGATCCCGCACCACGTGCAGAGGCTGGGTTACATTAACCCAAAGCTAGTGAGCTCATTTTACAATTTGAGTGAGCAAATTCAATTTCCTGGACTAAACTTTATGACTTGAGGGGGCAAACACAATGTCTTGTATTAAACATGGTTTGCTTGTTTGCATGGCTAACCTATGTTATTTGTGTTGCTCCTCCTTAACTATCAGTAAACAAAGATAGAATTTTATTATGAAGGCAGCGGAAGATGCACAATTAAATCTGTTTAATCTTAAAAGACCTTTGGCCTACCTGCCTCTGTGTTGGTACCTGGACCTACCTATACATTGATTAACCTCCTTGCTCTTGTCTTTCTCAAGAAAAAGAACGGTTGGCCCAGCATTTTGGATTTCACAAAGCTTTTTATTAAAGTTAATTAATCTAGGAGGTGGGCAAGGGGAAGGGAGATGAGGGACACCTGTAATAGTGTCAACAGTAAAAATTTTTCACGAATAAAGCTCATTTAAATTAACATGTTAATAAATGAAGTTTGCCGGAGAAATCAAAGCCTGTGACTCCTGGTTCCCACAACACTGACGCCAAGGTTGCCCCCAGCTGGCCCCGGAGAGGGTGTGTCCCTCCTCATAGTACAGACTGTCTGGTGGCGGGGGGGGGGGGGATTGGGTTATGTCCTCTTTTGGGCCTTCCTCCAAATTTTACCCTTCTTGAACCAAACTAAAACGGAGTCACTTGTGTCAAAGACAAAATAGAGCTAGTCAGCAGAGGCGCATAAAGGAAACTCGATCTGACCTTACAGAAATTTACAACGATGCTCAGAAACCTGCAGGGGACACCAGCCAGTTCCCAAATACCAAGTCAGTTCACGCCATCTCTGGCCTTCCTTGTTTCCCTGACTCAGCTACCCTGATCCAAATAAGGAAGAAGACCACTAGGTGACCAATCCGCTGAAAAAGTCAAATTACTTTCTTATTTATCCCACAAAAATTCCCTGATCTGTGGGCAACTTGTAACTCATTGCTCCTACAGCCTTGAGTCCCCCAATTTGCAGGTCAAAAGCTTTGCAGTAAACCAGGCAGGTGGGGAGGGGGCTTTGAGCCAGGGATTCCCAGAAAGCAAACTGTTGTGCTCCTCTAAGAATAAGGGTCCCTCTGAAGGGAACTGAGTTAACTTGCAGTCTCCTGTCTGGGAGCAGCAAGGAGGGAGGAGAAGGAGGTAAAGGAGAGAGGTAGCCCTTGGCAGGGCCAGACCTGAACCTGCATGGGACAGTCCTGGCTTATGGGGGCCCTCACGGGCTGGAAGCTTGGGCTGGGCAGGGAGGAGAGGCCCCCAAGGTCAGTTACCGTGCCCCTCTGCCTCTGCCAAGGTCAGTTACCGTGCCCCTCTGCCTCGGAGGAAATGCCAGCTAGGCCAGTTTGGCACCTGGGACAACAGAACTAGGCTGGGGCATTAGTGCCCCGGGCAACAGCTTTGTGACCTTGGGTGAGGCACTGGGCCTCATTTTTCTGATCACAAATGGAGGGAGGCATTCACCCAGGTTCCTCAATTCTGCAGTCATTGTTCTTCTCCCCACTCACAAGTTGAACGCTCTGGATGGTGGTCCCCTCCGGGCACAATGATCAGTCAGCCCAGTTTGCCTGGGCTGGCGGTTTCCTGGGTCACAGGACTTGCAGGGCTGAACAGGGACAGTCCAGTAACTGGGGCGGTCGGTCTCCTTGCCCCCAGGGGCCCAGCTCAGACTAGAAACTGAGTAGCTACTGCAAGGTGAGTGTGTAAGAAGTAAAGGGGGCTTGCCTGGGAGAGGATGACTGGGGGAGCCAAGGGCTGAGACCACCCCTTCGTCTTCTGCCAGCAGCAGCTGACCCTGGAGTGACTGAAGGGCACGGGAGTGGGAGATGTTGTGTAGGTGGAGGTGGAGATGGGTGTGGGGGAGTAGGAAGGCTCTCGCAGGGGCGGCTGAGATCTGCCGGAGCTCCCCACAGTCTCCCGCTCATTCATGTAAGATCACAGGACGTGGAATGTCTGCTCCTGTACCCTCCCTCCCTCAATAGTTTGGGTCCTAGAATCTAAGCTATTTTAGGTAAGTGTGCAAATGGTCATCATCACTGCAAAAAACATGGGCACTCTTCTTCCCTGCCCTCTCTCTTTAAGTAGCAATTTTTTCCTGTGCAGTATCCACAGTTCCCCCTGGGGACGTCCCCCTCACATGTCAATCACTGCAGCTGGATACCGGCTGTGCCTGAGTTCCCGGCGTCACTGGTAGAGCCTGGTCTGGTAAGTAGCTTCCCAGAAGTCACGGGTTCGATTCCTGGTCATGGCGCATGCCTAGGTTTTGGTTCAGTCTCCAGTCGGAGGGCATACGATTGGCAATCGATCAATGTTTCTCTCCTCTCTGTCCCTCTGTTCCCCCCTCTCTGAAACCAGCAAGCATGTTCTTGGGTGAGGATAAAAAACAACTAAG